TTTTAGCGACTCTCCCACTGCGAATTTGCACCACAGATACGAATGCATGGTAGGCGTGCATTCCTATCTGTAGTAGGCACCATCTGTAGTCTCCATCTGTAGGCGCTAGGTAGAGTTACCAGTTCCGCTTACAATCCGCGGATTTGGGCTTCTTTTTTTCGCCAAGTCGCTTGCAGAATTTTCCAGTCGCTTGTCACGTTCTTTTTGGCTTATTTGCATTTTCCAGTAAATATAGTTGTTCTATTGATCGTCACGAGTACCAATGCACGTTTGTCGTTCACTAATAGGGTATTTGTCGATGACTTGAGTAGTTTATTGCGAAGGCGTGCGCCGGCTTCTCCTTTTTTTTAATGTGAGTTTTGCGCCGCGAAACCACGATATGATTGATGAGTGACGGCATAGTGGAGGGCTCCAAAAATTTTGACCATTTGGTGTTCTTTAAAGTGCGCAGACATCGCATAACATGGACCTCAACCATTTCGTTTCTACCGAAACGAGACCGCCTCAACCGGGATCGAACCCGCGACCTTCAGTTCCACAGCATCCATTGTGTCGGATGATTCTCCATAAATGATCCTACCTGACACGCCTCCCGAGCGCACACCTGTGGTGGGGTGTTCAAACATACGTTGGGGAAAATTATTAAAACGTTCAGAACAACCTACGCTCAGGATAATCGCAGGCAGCGTTGATAATGCGCTTGCGAACGTGCCTTTAGCCGAATGGAGAGACTAGCCGGAAGACGATGTTACCAAGTAGCTATGTGTTTTTGTTCGTATAGTTGCGCAAATTTGTGCTGTACAAAATCCATCAGTAGATTTTTAAAATCTCTTTCGTATTTAGATCGCTATAAAGATATTCTCATAAAATGTGAAAATTTATTATGATTCCGCTTCTTTTTGGACTTCTTTTGTGTGGTGTTTTCCCTTGTTTGCTAGGTAGGATCTGGCAACATTGGCGCCGCTAAGGAAATAGAAAAAAAACATCTTTGAAAAGGAAGCTCAGGAGATGCGTCCTTAGTGCAGGATCTATAACAATTCGTAATAGACTGTTAGCACAACTGATATTTTCGTTTACATAAAAAGTGTTTCAAGATCTTTCCCCCCGCCTTTTTTTTCGAAATCCCACTGCCACACGATTCATGGCAGATCACCCGTGGTGGGTTGAGCCACTCCTCTTGGGTGCAACCAACAGACCAACCAATCAACTACCACCTCTTTGTATAAAGGGCAGTAGGGCTTGTGCACTGAACAGAAGGCTCTGCGCAGCCCTCGCTTAGCGGCTCACCGTCACCCACACGGCCCACAAGGGTTACGAAGAGAGTCTATAGTCCGGCATGCTGCAGGTCCATAAAACGCGTTTCAAGCGAAGCCTGGCCTTCAAACAATACTGGCTGAGTTCGGCCGTGGTTCGCACAATCTTGAATCAACTTCAGGAAAGCGACACTCGCGTTGCGTTCCCCTCCAGTCATGAAGATGATGATGATTGTGATGATGCCTTGGCTATGGCCCATATAGCCCATATGGCCCAATTCTTCTTTACCCCGTTAGGCTGGGCGACTTCTGAAGGAGCTGCACCTTGCTGAAAACTCGGATCCATGGCGCTTATATCAGGACCAAGGAGGATTTTAAAAAAATTGCTTGAGACGAAATGGCTGCCCAGAATCGAAGCCGTGCCTGCCGCGACTGCCATGGAAAGATGGCAGCTACGACGGCCATCTTACTAGGGCCATGATAAAGTATTACCGTTCAGAGATTAAGAACGGAGCGTTTCTCTTACACGCCCAACGAGTCTGATATGGAAACTTTTTCGGGTGACAGGGCGCTCCAAGTGCGTCTTAGTGTTACTAGTTTTCCTTTGTGAGCCTCTAATTGGAGGCAGAGTTTTTCGGAGACTCAGTCACCCATACTCGTTTCTGTGTGTTATTTCGTCGGGAACGATTATTTTTTTTAATATAGAACTAACGTTGCATTTTCATTAACATATCAAAGCCACTTGATCTTTAAGTGGGCACTACCAGAAAAGAGCATGTTTCCGCCATCTTGGCAGTGACAAAATTAGGCTTCACTTCTGCTGGCAAGGCATTGCGGGAGCTTCCACTCCAACAATATTTTAATCCTCCATAGTTTGGCTGCGTGTGCATGTGTGCCGATTTTGTTTTTCACGGATTGGTTTTGTTTCAATACAGCATTAAATTGTTCTGGTTTATTTGTTTGGACGAAGTTTGTCTCGCGCATGATGGCATATGACGCAAGCCACGACACCGTACGTCAATGCGCGCAGTCATAGGTCAAGAGAAGACTTTATTGGAATATCAGCAGAAGGTTGGGATGAGATGGCTGGAGGCAATTGGTTCTTGTTGACCTATCTTTTTTTTCTTGGTCCGCTTGATGGACCTTACGCACTACCTCCCGAGATACGCTGAGGCTTCGACTCTCAGTAATTATTAAAAGTGCAGTTTACATCACAAGGGTGGTTCAAAGAATGCGATAGCACCAATTTGGAACGTTGTATATTTCATGTGCTGAGTATTGGGAACAGAAACTATAGTCGTCATGAACTGGCTCACGCGCTCTTTTCCCTCTTTTTCGCTGCCCGAACGCGTGCACCGATTTCTCTGACGTGGTATGCAAGAGAACGAGTATCGAGAAACAAAAAGACACCAAAAAAAGCGAAGAGAGATATAGAAAATAGATACAAGTCTAGGTGAAAAAAAATGTCTGGCGTGTTAGTATTCAGATAGGTGCCCCCATGATCCGAACGCGAGCTTCCTAATCACTCGGCTATCCAGGAATGCTAGACCCGCCGCGGTGGTCTAGTGGCTAAGGTATTCGGCTGCTGGCCCGCAGGTCGCGGGATCGAATCCCGGCTGCACTTCCGATGGAGGCGGAAATGTTGTAGGCCCGTGTGCTCAGATTTGGGTGCACGTTAAAGAACCTGAGGTGGTCAAAATTTCGGAGTCCTCCACTACGGCGTCTTTCATATATGGTGGTTTTGGGACGCTAAAACCCCACAAATCAATCGAACTTGCTATAGCAGCCACTACGTAGTGCAGTAGCGTGTGCGTCTTTTGTAGTGGGTGACCAGCTTTAAACGATTAATTCATTATAATAATCCCATGGTTTGACGCCCGATGGCTATGCACGCCTGTACCACGCAATATTTCTGCAATATTCCATGTTGTATTGTGAAGGATGTATACAAGACGTGCGTGTTTGTAAAGCATGAAAGTTCAATTTCACTGCATTTCCAAGCAGAGAGACTTATTTCCACTGTATTCACTGTATTCCACTGTATTCATGATTGTATGGTAGAACATTCACTTGCCACGTTGACGACCCAGGTTCGGTACGCACTCATACTCAGAAATTTTATTATTTTATTTGCATGCTTCTCGATTTAGTGGTCCCACAAAGGATAGTGATTTTTCGCTCAACAGTACGACACCGACAACGCCAGAACTTCAGCGAAACGAGCTCTTTAATGCTGTCGCGTTAAATAAAAAAGACAAGCAAGCGCGGGCACAAGGGCATGATCGCGAGATCGTTTATGGGTGCGTGATAGAAGAACTGCAAGATGGCAGACTCGTTAGCCAAAGCATCTTTAAGCGGACCGCTCTTACCTATTTTACCTGATTTCACCTACATAACAGCACTCAGATATAGAAATGCTTGTTTGCACAAAGAAATAGAAAAATTATGATTGGATAAAGTCAGAGACTTCGTACATCTAAGATATTGCTGGAACAAACAGTGGTGTATATCTCGGCAATTAGAAATTACAATCACCAGATTACGATGCATAATTCCGCATCTAAATTACTACCTACATAAAGCTGGACTAACAGCATCTCCGTTGTGTCTCTTTTGCAAGGAATCGGAATCAATAGATCATTTCTTTTTATCTTGTCAACGATATTCTTATCAAAGGAAAAGATACCTGGTCGAACCAATTGAGAAGCTAGGCTTAAAAATAAACGTGGAATTAATTTTATCCTTCAGAGGGATTACATCAGGTTATAGCCACAGGGATGTTTTCTCTGCTGTGTGCGAGTACATAAGGGCAACAAGGAGATTACCCTGTTAGCCTATTGCTATTATTTACGGCTACGAGACTACCTGAATGCCTGACTTAGCACACTTGATGATCCTGCCACCCAGTTCTTGGCCGATCCCCCTTTGTGGGTGAGTGCCAGCAAAGCTGAAGGTTCATCATCATCATCATCACCAGAGCACGCGGTACGCGGCCATCCTTTCAATCGGTTGCCTGTTTTTGAAATGGCCGTTTCAATGTCACAGAACAAGCGCGGTCTTGCCCGGGTCGTCAAAGGGGCCCCAGAAGACGAGGTCGCACCGCTCAAGACGCTCGAAGAACTTCTCGGGTACAAGATGGAGCCCCTGCTGTGCGCCGTGGAGCCTCTCTCGGCAGCAATCAAGCGCGGCAAACCCGGTGACCCGAGGACCATCTTTTGCCACGACATGGATGGCAACTACAAGGAGGACAGGTGAATATTCGAAAGAAACTGTATCGCCCGCAGTTCAAAGATTTTCAGGTGACGCAAGATTCTCATTCCACCATGTTGTGTCTCGTCGCACTAGTACGGTACACATGGTGAACGGTCGCCACATTGCCGAGTCGTCGACGCATGCGTTCCTAACTTGCGAATGCTTGTCGACGTGCCAGTGCCCAATAGAGCTTGGCGAACACAATTGCATCAAATTAGGTTAAGGGTCCGTTTGGCGTCTTTTACCCCATTTTCCTGGCTTCGGGGTGATTGTTGCCAGACTGCCACCAAATTTGGCAGAGAAATCGGCCGCTGTAGCAGTGGCTTTTCTGTGAAGGTTTGGTTTACCCCATTTTTCAGGCTTTGGGGTGATTGTTGCCAGACTGTCACCAAATTTGACATAAAAATCGGCCGCTTTAGCAGTGACTTTTCTGTGAAGGTTTGGAGTCGTCCGCGGTGGATTTCGTGAGTGCGAGAGCTACGTTGGCCGCTTTTATTAACGGAATGAACGTAAAACGCGCATTGCAGAAGTCGGGGCGCGTTCTCTTCCTGTGTGTGCAGCTGTCCAATTAAGAGATCGCGTCTCCGTATCAGGGACTACGGGGAAACTGAATAGAGTCGCAGCAGGTGGTGCGCTGCCCCCCCCCCTCCCTTTTTATCACAGCTGATCAAGCCGCGTCAACCACGCGCCACGACGGGGACGCTACACTTCCCCTAGCTGTGTTAGCACAAGAAATATCGTTCGGACTCGTGTACATACGAAGAATAAATCTGCCAAGGCTGGATAATTGGTGTACGTCGGATATGCTACAGCTGGTCGACGCGGCTTGATCAGCTAGTCGCCGCGTCGTTGATTCCCTAACTCTGAGACACGATCTCTCAATTGGACAGCAGCGCACACAGCAAGAGAACACGCCCCGACTTCTGCGACGCGCGTTTTACGTTCATTACGTTAATTGAAACGGCCAACGTAGCTAACGCACTCGCGAAATGCACCGCGGACGACACCGAACCCTCTCAGAGAAACCACAACAGTGGTAAATTTTTTCGCCAAATTTGTCGGCAGTTTGGCAACATCACCTCAAAGTCTGGGGTATGAGAACCTAACAGAACCTTGCCCAAATCAGTATTCACATCTCCTACCTTTTTTTATTTTTTCCTCCTGAAGGTTAACCTATATCGGTGATGAAAGATAGAGGGAAGGGGTGTGGGGGGGGGGGCGTTCGTGTTCTGTTTGTCAGTTTTGGTTTTGATTCATGTGGCGCCTCGCACAACGGCGATATGTAGAGGCACCGCTAGGTAGTGTCTAAGAGGAATCTGATCATTATATGTACGATCAACCATTATATGTCAGGCAAACCCCGACACAACAGGTTGCAATTCACCGCTGAGGCGAGACGCAGGATGTGTGGTGGAGGGTAGCGAATCACGGCATGCGTCCTTTCTGAACACTTAACCTGCTTTCTTATCACACTCTGCCCACCCTCTCCCCCATTCTTCGTGGGCCAGCAATCATAAACTAAAGTATAGGGCCATCAACCACGCTACCAAAATCAAGTCGAATGATCCTAGTACCGTTCCTGTACTGTACCAACGGCACTTCGCGACAGACATCTACTGAGACCTTCACGCGCGTCGTGCAGTAGTATACCCCGGAAAGAAAATGTCGGCAGTCTCTCAAATTTTTATAACATTTTCCTGTTCTAGGACTCCCCTCCCCCCTTTTTCGTTGCTCACTGTTGCTGAGCCATGCGCGATTTGAGTCTTAGATATTCCGTATAAATCAAAGACAAACATTTATCTGGCGAATACAAGCTCTCTGATATTTCCCAGTGGTTTGTTATACTTGCGCCGATTCATTGCAAACTGCCGTTTGCGAACCAAGATCAGCTCATCAATACTTTTTCAATTGCTACTCACCTTTCAGATTCATCTATGGCACTGATGAGGCTCAAGGGTACCGCTTTCATCACTGGCAGGTCATCGACACGTTTATCTACTACTCTCATCACATGGTCACAATCCCACCTCCTGGTTGGATCACTGCTGCCCACAAGCACGCTGTCAAAGTTCTTGGTAAAAGATTTCGAATTTTCCGGTACAGTTGCTCTTCGTAGTAATTCGACGTAGAGGTAGCTTCAAATTCCTGTTTATTAGAGAAGCTTTTTATGGGCATGATGGGAGAAAACATCGCGGTCCGTCAGTCAGTGCAGAAGCTCCTCCGGTGCATCCCACCTCTGCAGAGGATGTAGAAGGGGGAGAGGAAGGTCAGATACGGCTGCTTTTATAGTTGGCGTAGTGTCACGGACGGCTATTTTCGGCGACACCGCGTCACGGCAATTAACGGGCGCCGTACTCCCCGACTGACCGTGAGAAACGGCGGCACATGAAAGGGAACCGATAAGTGCAAAATGGGGGTGCTCTCCTTAGTTAATCCTTTTGTAACCGTGGCGACGTCTGCAAGGTCGTAGAAGGCCGCGGTATACCCCGTACAAGGATTAGACTACAAGACGCCCGGCTGAGAGCTAAGTGATTGACCGTTCCCACGGAGAAAAGCGTGGGAAACGCTCTGGTGGCCAAGCCGTATGACAACAACCCGACAGGTTGTCACTCTCGCTAGTTGCGGGCCCTCTCCCTATTAAAAAGGGGTGAGGTCAAAATATTTTTGGGGCGGAGTTTCCCCTCAATTAAACGCGCATGATTGGACCCAGGTAGAGGTCTCTTGTCTCCAAGGAAGAGAGCGAGGAGACACGAGGGGGATTTAAGCGCAGGATTTTGCCCTGCTAGGCAGACTAGTCGCTGACCAAGATGGTGTAGAAACAGATCAACAAGCATCTCTTCTAGAAGTTTTAGTGTGGCTCTGTATCGGCTGGCCACCTAAACTTAGCCGTTCGTCTAGTTGTGACGCGATATGAACGTCGGCAACGTAGACATCGGGACTTCGCCTCGAGTTAGCTCAACCTGCTCGAAGTCACCTGCAAGCACTAGCCTCCCGGAGCCACCAGCGTTGCAACACCGCCGACATCGCAGTCGTGCCAGAACTCTCTTCGACTTCTCGCATCCGATCGTCGGGGACACAACGCTGCCGGTCATCACACGTATGCCTTCACCTGTTATATCTTCGAACTTTCTACTCCGTCGTTCTATTCTTGTTAGTTCGTGTAGTTTGTAATAGTTCTCTCTCGTAAGCTGATTTATTGTTTCTGTTATATATTTCTTTAGTTGTATCAAGTATCGATGTATTTTGTTAGTTGTATTGAAGTGTTGTATTAGATCCCGTGTGCTGCAATATCACTACAGTAAAGTTGTTTTGTTTTCTCACGTCTCTGATCTCTTCACTGTCTCTGCTTGCGTACGGAACGAACCGACCTGCTGTCATTCCCGTCGCCGACTTCGCGCTGGCGACGCTAGAGTGGCAGCTTGTAACACGTAGCTACACTCTCACATGCACGGACACGGGTAAGTGCAAACTGCGCATCGGAGGGATCTAGCGCGCATTCGAAGGAGTAGCGAATGCAAAAGTAATGAGTTGCGAAAGAGAGGTGCGCGATTGCCTACACCAGTACCGACATCGTTGCCGTCTCCCGCAGTGGAGCTCGCGTGCACCAGTTTCTCTCTGCAAATTGGGTAGGCCGCGCGTCATTCGTACTTTAAACGAACAGGGAGCTCACAAAAACGAAGCCAATAACTTGAAAAGGCTGCATTGAACTGTCGGTATTGACACACTGATAAACACTGTGGCCATACAAAGCACCTTTGCTGGTTAACCATTTGTACCGAGTACTTGGATGCTGATTTTGAAATAAAATCTTAATATCCGGTTGGCTAGCTATCTGTTCCTCTTGTTTATTGTGGGAATCTACACAAAAGAACTTGAGGGGTACAATGACGCTTCAAGTGACAAGAGCATGTCTAACAAGGAGGCACGTCGTTGAAGACATTTAGGCAAGGCCAGAGGTGACCATAGTATCTGCGCATAAACTAGACTCCTTGTATTGAAAGAGACCTTGGCTACCGGCGACACTCATTCGCATTCAGCGATCTCCCAGTTTTCGTTGTGAAGTCAGTCAGTTTTCACAATTAATCTATTTGGATATTAAAAATGTTTTTTTTTATTCACAGGGGACGAAAAATAGTGGTCAGACATGATTACCAAAACACTATTGGCAAAAGATAGAGAATACAGGATATCATAACGTGCTTTTCACGTGATGGAACGCTTAACAAATGTACAAATTATCGTAGCTACAATATTCAGGTTCTTATCTGTTCCGTTAACTCATCCGTATGTGAGGCTGAAGTTCCAGCAGAGCTACGTATAATCGCAAGTGACCATGGTTTTGTATAGTATGGACGTTTTTTTCAACTGCCACTTTTCTTTCAGTGCATTTTTTTTATAAATGCTGAGCCAGCCAAACGCATGCTAAAAGGCAATATTATGAATGCACCATCGTTTTGTAAATTATGTAGCAACACATTCCTTACAAGCTCCATGCATTTTTATGTCAACTCTTACAGTTAAGTTGAATTGGCTTACTTTCCTCAGCTTAGTTGGCTGGATGCGTTAACGTAGTAATGATAGTGGTCTACAGCGGCACTTATACTGAATATCTTTAAAAACTCATTTGCATTTTATATATTGTGTATCGATATATCTTGCCCGAAAATTGTTCACTTTTTGTCACAATTCCTCTTCACTGCTCCTCGCTTTTCAGGAACATTCATCCTGGGCAAGGATGGCACCAAAGCCCTCAACACCATCCGATTTTCTGGCCTGACATCCCAGGTTGCAGTCCAGCTGGCGAACGTTGCAAGGGTCGGCAGGTTTGACGGATGGCTCATAAGCATTGGGTGCAAGATGGTGAGTATGTTCTGGCATCTGAGCTATAGAAGCTCCATGCACACGTTTTTGTAAGGTGGCAACTTCAACTGAGCATGTGAAATAGAATGTATCTTTCTGAGCGGCCTTCCGCATCAAGTGGAAAAGGATGAGCATGTTTCTAAGCATGTCATAAAGGATTCATAATACTATGCACGTTCTCGAATGCACTTACGTACAGAAATGTTTTAAGGATTAGTCGCCCATACCACATGGTGTAACGTGAGATGGCAGCTTCAACTGCGCACCTGTAAAGTTGCAATAGCTTTCAGAAAAGGAGAAAGATTGTTTAACATTACGTATGGGCCATAGGATATGATTCTGTTCATATTTCCTTCATGTATGTGCCAGAAACAATGTCGCTTTAAAAATGGTGACGCCAGCAGTGTCGTACGTACGTCCATTATGAGTAATATCGGTTATTTGAAACCCGTTGTGACAATGGTATATGTCCTTGCGAAAATCGGCAGACTTAGCTATTCGCCGTACTCTATCATCTAATTAACTGCAGCAGTAGCAGGCTGTGGAGGTGTGTACCGTCATACACTAAATATTGTATATATTTGGGTGTTATGGCATCATCTATGCTAATCTCAATTACCATGAAGAGAGTGGTTGCTTTCAAGATGTTTTTCAACGAGCACAATTTCGTGCGCATATGGAAAGCGTGCTTCACAGGTTTGTTTTCTTGTGAAGGATTTTTTTTATTCTTGCAGAACTCGCTTTCTGTGAGCATCAGTGGTAAACACTGAAACATTTGACATGTATGTGACGCCGGGAGAAAGAAATGTTGCGTTCGGTTAAAAAAGCTTGCATTAAATAGATGTTGCGTCGTTTCATTTACATGCTGTGCGACCAGGATTTGACATCCACACTTTGGTACTTCAGAAAATTAATCTATAAGTTTTGTGTACATCTTCAGCAGATTTCGCTTTGTTGCTGCGTCCGGTACAGTTTCAAAGGTAGACAGTCAGTGCGAGAAAAGAATCGAAGACAATATACTTTTATATTGCAACATAGAGTACACCCTAAGGTGTACGATATGGTCACGAATAAATGAATACGTGATCCAGATATCAACGTTCACACAATTTAGCAATCATTGGCAAAAGTTTCCTACCTTAAACTGTACATTATGAATCTTTTTTTTTTTAATTGCCACCATCCCAGTGTGCAAACGTGAACTTTTCTGGTGAAACCATATGAAAGCCGCCTATGCTGTTGGGGGATACGTTCCATTATTGTGATAACAATGACCCATACATGCATTGGCATCGCCCAATCTTGTTCCTTGCACGTGACAACACACACAAACATAGAGACAGAGAGAGAAGGGAGAGAGTTTTCAAGAAAGGAAGCGCTAGCAAGCCGGATTGTGATTATTGCTGTGAGACAAAAAGACACCCTTATTACTTTATCTTTCTTTAGAGCTTGGGGAGTTAGAGCCGACATCCCATAACGTTGTGTCATATTGTGTATTATGTACGTGCCATACGTGTCACACGCAACGCCATTTTGACTGTGTGCACAGCAAGGTCGTCGATGCGCACTATGTGCACAGCAAGGTCGTCGATCTGCACTGTTTTCAGGATCCCAGCTGTATTTCATTCTTGGAGGACTTGCTGTCATCCATCACCGAAGAAACGCACAAAGCCGTACCCGGGTCGCTGGTCATCTGGTACGACCCCGTGGACGTCGACGGCAACGCCAAGCCCCACAACAAGCTGAACTAAAAAAATGCCTGCTTCTTTGACCTGTGCGACGGCATATTCCTCGACTTCCGCTGGACCGAAGACATGCTCCTGAACTCCGCAAGAGTCGCGGGCGACCGCAAAGCCGACGTATACGCCGGCGTAGACGTATACGCCCGTGAGACATGGTACCCTGGTGGCTACGACATGTACAAGGTATGTATGGACTCGGCAAAGGTTTAGGTTTGGCTACCATTCGATATGCTTGTTATTGGGAGCTTGAGAAGTAGCATTTAAAGCAATAAATATACTATAATGTTGTTCACAAACGGAATGCAGTAAGTTGAAAGGTTGCAGAGTAAAATCTTGTTAATTCAGCTTTCACGGGACTGGAGAAACTGACCAAAATAACCAAATGCCAAATCTAAAGTATCAATGAAACAATAAGTAAATGTTTATTATATCAACGCACTTTCGTTCATCTGGTACGCTATTGTGTAACTGGATCAATACAAACCAACTATATTCTTAAGTATGTACAACTAATCGAGAAACATGCTGTAGTTAGAACTAACAGATAGTGATGCCACAGAAAGTACAGGAGACGTTATAAGTGATTGTAATGTAAATGTGAAGAAAAAAAGTGCAGGACAAGATGAGCTGCTACCAGCAGGATCCCAACCTGCAACTTTTGAATAACGTGTCCGATGCTCTACCACTAAGCTACAGTGGCGTTCATACCCCCGTCCACTCTACGCGGCATGCGCGGTGCATGCCGCACAGAAATCTATGTCCCGTCGCGGGAAGCCCTTTTTCAAACCCTACATTCCAGGCTGTCCAGCTCGCCCGCAGATGCGGCTTGTCGGCGGCCATCTTTGCGGCTGGCTGGGTGTACGAGACCCAAGACGAGAAAAATTTCGCGGCAAACCAGCGCAGGTGAGTTGCCAAGGAGGAAAATAGTGCATAGCCTGACACTACACAAGTCCCTTGCTATGACGACGCACGTGCAAGAAGGAGACCAAGCTTTAAGGTCAAACGCAAGCACAAAAGGGGATATCACTCTTAACGGGGGATCGAGGGCGAAGTCCGAATATGCGATTTTTCAATTTTCATGGCATGATGCTCGAGCATTTTCGACAAGTGCTCCCACGAAGTGTCGCACATTTATGTGCAGTGGACAGCATAAATATGGCGCCTAATGCAGTTCATCCTGTCACTGCACAGCGTGACTGCTCGAACTTCAAATGGTGTTTTTTTCAAAAACCAATTTTCGTCAGAGAAGGAACATTCTTTTCTGTAACCACTGCAGCTACCCAGATAAAATATTTGTTGCTTCTTTCTGAATAACATGCGCTTTTACTGAAGCAAGTAATGATGTTGCCAGTATAATTGTACTTTTTGCAAAAGCTTTTCTTTGAGAAAAAAGCCCTAAAATACTAGTCATCAAGCATCTAAATTTTTAACTAAAGAATAGTCATGTCTATAATTATTTTTGCTCAGTAGAATACCCTGGACACATGTGATAACTAGAAAATATTTCATCAGTTTACATGCGAAATCTTCTTCACAAACAATCCTTCCAAAAATGAGAACAGTAAGATGATTATATTTTTATTTTGTTTAGAATGGCTAGGTATTTCCTTGCCAAATTTTAAAAATTCTACTAAAATCTCTGTTCAAGCAACCAGAGAGATACTGCGACGTATGTTTTCAAAATAAGAAAGCGATCGACAGTAGCAGTGCCACACCTGTCTTTGCCAATGACGAAAAAATATTTTTAAAAACAAACTTAATGATAACTGGCACTTTCTGTTTCTCTGTTGTAGGGGATGGGTGGTGTAACATTTCTGCTTGTATCTTTCGAAAGAAATGCTGTAGATGGAAGCTTCATGCAATATAATGACGGGCGACAGATTGCACATTTATCATATTTAATAACGAAGACGACAGCACTATGAGGAAGAATTAGCTTTTTTCCACTTGGCTTCATGCCTTGAATGCAGCAAACATGCATGGAATGTGCGTGACTCACAGGGATCGTCTCTACGATGCAGGTTGTGGGCACTGCCGGAGGACTGCCGCTCGCAGTGCAAGGTTACGGCACTTCCCTTGTCCACAACGTTCTGCCAGGGATGCGGTCCCCGTCTGTACAACCAAGGCCAGGTGAGTCTGCCGGGATTTCAGCCTAACTATAGCCGAGGCATCACCAAGAGTTAAACTTTTCTTTTTTTTCCTCTCTGTATGGCACAGCCACGCATAACAAGATAACCTGTTCAGAGCCACGGAAAGTGCATTACATCCGCTAAAGTCCTCTTCGTCTGTGGTTGATGTTTTTTGCTGCAGCCGAATTTTAGTGTGGCAATAATAGGCGAAAAAGATTAAGCTTATATTAGCAGAGGGGTGAGCTAGTTAGTAGATATATTCGTGCTTAAAAAGACGAGGCGTGCAAACACGAGCACAAAAGTGTCGACACCACAAATTCCAGTCAAACGACATTTGTAGCGTTTGCCTATCTTGTGTCTGTGTTTATACACCCCGTCTATCTCGGATGGATAAAATCACACGACTTGGTATATTACATTCAGAGGTTTAGTTTGAAGCTTCAGTTTCGACATATGCAGTACCTCATTCACGAAACCAAATTGCTCATTTACCAGGTTGTCAAACCAGCACCGTGGTTTGATCATTCGAAGCAGCAGCTGCCGCCCCGAGATCAAGGCACGAACCTCGGCGGCGGTGGCGGGTGGCCATATTGTCTACCGCGACCTCTTACACTGGCGGCGGCTGCCTCTATTTGCACTACAGTCCAGAAAAGGCACCAGGATCCACTTTCATCCCTTACTTCAGGTAAATGCTAGGCTTCTCAATACGGCCAGGAATTCGAATTCTTTGTGACACTGAGGGTAAACTGTTTATAACTATGATTATGGGAGTATGAACATAAAAGTGTGTAATGAACTCACATATAATACATATGTGTTTGTTTTGCAATTCCTAATCATCTTTACATTATACTAACCCTCCCTCTCTACACACACATATATACACAACAAATTACGTGTGTGCCTGACATACTGTTTTCATTTTTTCTTCCACATTTTAATCGTTGTTGCTTCTATTTTTCCTTTCTATGACTTGTGTGCATTTTCATACTTCAAATGCGCCAATAAAAGCGGCAATTGAACTTAATATAGGTCAAATAAGCATAGCAGAAACGACTGATTGCCACAAAAGAGTATCTACTTGAACTGCTTGGTATTACATTTTTGAAACAAATATACTTTCTTAGTGAGCAGAGAAAGTTTTGGAAACAAGACAGATCTGATTGCCAACAACCCCACGATCTAGAGAGCGTCGATTATTGGGAAAAAGTGCGCACAAATTACACGTGCGAGCGGAGCGCCTTCGAGATCTGCATTTCTGTATCTGCCCTTGGTATTTTTTGCATGTGACAAAGCCACCGCCAAAATGTGTAACTCTTAACAAATGCTGTTAAAAAGTCAGATCCCTGAAGTTAACACTATAAGGAGAGGCACAGGCGAAAGCGTAATTACGCACAAGTAATCATCAAATTACTTTGACCCAGTGGCGTACCAGGGGGGTGGCACACCACGCCCGTGCCCCATCGTTTTTTTTTCGCCATGGCATAAAAAGTGAAGTGAAACATGACCATTTCAAAGAGGTTCTCCGCCTCCAATGGCAAATCCAGGGAGGAGGGGCAGTAGAAGCGATCGCCCCCCCCCCTCCAATATCTGAGTCAACACCCCTCCTCTTACATGAGTGCCCGTAGTCCACCTCCTATCACCAATTAGGATAAATTAGTGAAACCACTGTGAGCAAATATTAACAGCATTTATGCTGGGAAAGGGTTTCTCTGCTAGTAAAAAAAAGTAGTCATGACCACGCCCCTGTCTTCGGTTTTACTTCAGGCTACCGCCCTCTCCCCCCCCCCCCCCCCAGCTAAAATGAGTGGCGGGTTCAGCCTCGGTCCACTTCCCTTCAGTAAATCACGGAGTCCTCCCCCCCCCCCCCCTCCCGAAAAAACATTTCTACCTATTCCTCTGCTTTGACCTTCTCAGTCGATTGCACTATTCCTTGTGCAGGTTGTTCGGCTTCGATCTGCCGCTGGGCTCACTGTGCGTCAGCTACGCTTTCAAAAACAAGCAGCAGGGCACCTTGGCGGGGCACGACGTGAACCTGATCCTTCGTGTCCGGGATGTTGTTGGCAAGGAGGACGAGCTGTCACTGAGCTCAGTGATCGTCGTCCCCCAGAGTGAGAAGTACATCGTGGAGCGGGAGATCACCGACAGCGCCCAAGGTGACCTGAGCCTCGCTCAAGGTGGCTGGTTGACAAGGTCTGTAACATTTTGTTCGTGAACTCGTTCGTCAATCTTGTTTCTCAGCACCTAGTTTCATCATTTAAAGTGGTCATAATTCTAAGTGATTATCAAAAGACCTCAGTATACTGGAGCTTATCGCCTCACGAACAGATTTCCGTCTAAATGTATCGTATCTGTGCTGGGAGCAGGTGCTGGGAGTTACTGTTGCAACAATCACGCTTGAAGCAAAGCAGGGAGGGATGGCACTAAGGAAAGAAGTTAGTACACGCCATGACCTTGAGCCTGCGCGATAAAATATTACCCCACTCTCCCATTGCGATTTTGGCTCACTGTGTAATACTAGCAGACCTGCAAGTGCAGCGACGGCACGCGGCAGTAGGGAGCACATTTGATGCAAACATCGCTCTACTGGCTTACGTCTGCTATTGGTCAATATCAAGCTATCTGCTATTCGACGTCAAACAGCTGGTGCGGGGAGTTCTGAAGTGAAGAGGCCTAGGTGTGTATCAAAAAGGGCGCTGAATAGGTTAACTTCGCATTTCACTTGTAAACCCTCCTTTAGTCTCTCCCTGCCCTGCACGATGGCGGTATATGACGGTGAGAAGTTCACAGTAGTCTCTGCTATCCACAGTCAACTATCCGCAGGATGTGTAGGCACAAGGGCGCAAAGAGGGAGGTTCATGATTCCTCAACAAGTTTGTC